CATGTTGTGCTTCATCAAGACGGTAATTTATTATTTTCTTAGATGTGAACTTGTTTTCATTTATTTCGCTGACTCTGCTGGCTGAATTCTTTATCACATTTCGTATAAATCAATGTACGAGCCCGTGTTTGATACCCGAGGAAAAAGACCAGGAACAAGTGATGGCGAGAAAAATATAGAGTTTATTGTAACCAGCAACAATCAATGCGAAGCTGTATAAGAGTGTGTTGATTGGAAGCTTGACTTTGATGTGTAGTAATTAGTCGCATATTATGTTCACAAGTGTAGGCAACAGACACTGACCACTTCTTCTGCTTTCGATGCTGCTGCTGTTGCCATCGAATATCACGAACGAAAGAGAATGCGCAATAAATATTCACATAAATACTTATGCGATTTTGATTGTAATTTTGCAACAATTTCGTTCGATTTATTATTATCGAAACGGACGATGGCAGGCGCGCTAAATAAAAAATGATGAACATTTAAGTATATGCGTACTTCAATTAAAAATGATCATCATTTGTAAGGGCGAAAAAATTCACTTCTAAACCACAACAAAAATCAACCAAAACTTCAACATTCCATCAAAATATGGCACTGTAATTCGTTGAAATCAGAAAAAATAACATTTAATTATGAAAAACACAATTATTCCTTTCTGGGCGCTCTTTCCCATCAGAAAAAAAAATTATGAGGTTTTGATCTTTTAATTTATTATTTTTCAACGCGGTGCCGACATATTCTTTCTCTCTCTCCATGCAATTTTTTTCGGTTTGGGTTTGCTTGTTGTTCACCTGAAATTTTGTACCTTGCTCGAGCAACAAAAAAAATACCCAAAATAAGTCTTTTGCAAAATATGACATAAACATAAGATTTTATGATTCAAAAGACGAAAAAAATTAAAGAAATCAACGAGACAAAACAAAAACGTCATTTCCTTGCATAATTTGTGAAACGGCTTTTTATTGCCATCGATCAACCAACACAACAATGTTATTATTAAAAATTTCAATTAATTACATATAATTTGTTTAATATTCAGTTTTTGGTTAAACATTTTTGGTCTTTGTTTTTCTTCAACTTCCATCGTTGACGTATTTATACCTATGTGACAATTACATTCGCAGGATATTTTCCAATTTAAAGAATTCAACATTATTTTGTTTATTTTTTTAAGGTTGATTTTTGGTATAATTTGAGCAAGATGATTGAGGATGATACTTTTTAATGATTTCTTTATTCATGAGTTTAAAAAATATATAAACCCTGAAAATAAGAAAAAGATAGAAGATGTCAAAAAACCAATTGCATATGGTAACGGAAGAAAAAAAAATGTTTAGCGAAAAATGGTTAATAAATACTCGTTTTGGCGAAAAAAATTCCCACTGATTGTAAATAGAATTCAACGAATAAAAGAATCTTCGATAATGAATTCCAAGAACGAAGAATGACTTATTTGTCATCAGAAGGTCATTTTTATTTACATTTACCTTTACTCACATTAACTTACGGTCATAATGCGATTGAATTCGATTTCATTAATTTTCGTCATTCGAATTTGATCGATAGTAGGTAATATTAATAGATAGTCGACAGATACGATGATTTTTGTAACATCTTGATATTGCTGATGACCATTGAAATTTGTAGCGCCGATATTTTTAAAATAAAGCAGAATTTGAATTGCTGATTCGTTTTACGAATCCAGATGATATCATGTAGTAAAAGCTTAAATTATTACAGAAGACCCGGCTTCCTTGAAATGTTTATAATTCTTCTAAATGTTCATTACACTAAATTTGAGCACGTTTTGTGAAAGAATAACAGCGCCATCATAAATTCATATAAAAAAAAAAACAAGTTCAAACGTATACACCATTGTTATAAAACGACACAAAGAAGTGGTGATTGAAAAAGACCATAATTCAATAAAGAAAATCAAAATCACAGATATCTGCTTAATTTATGATCTAAATCCTGTAAATTAATTTTATAATACTTTATGGGAAGGTGACCTAATGAAAAAAAGACAAATCAACGTTAAATAGATCATTTTTGGTCGAGTTACTTAAAAGCGAATCACTAATGCATGCTTTCGGTTTGGATGATTTACGTTTGATTTAGAGAGGGAGCATGAATATGGTTTGCATCAGAGTGCTACGAAATGAGAGATGAATTGCCAAACTTTTTTTGTCAGTTTTATTTTTAATTTACGAGTGATGCGATGTTTTATCTCCGAACAAGAATGCTACAGCCAACTGCATGAGCGCATTAAAAATTCGCGTGGCGCACATTTGCATAAACCAGTAAAATGAATACGGTATTAGATCGAAAATGGTTAGATTACCAATCGAAGCGTATAACAAGAAAACCCGATAAATATTCGTCTTTTTCGATTGGCTCGATTGGCTCAAAATCATTATGCAATCTTTATACAAAACAATGATTTCTGTGTCTTGATTTTAATTATCCCGCTTTTTTATGGTGTGCCATTATTTTTGGGAATTTAAAATAGGAAGCGATATCATTGTTATCTGATCGACTGGTTGCTTATTTTAATTTTATATGCACTCTACCCCAACATCCAATATCAGATTCAGACATGTCATTTCTTCCTTGTGTTTCGCATCTTTATTCAACTATGTATTTGGTTTCATTTTGTGAGCATATTCCATTGCCCCGCTTTTTGAAACCGGTTTAGAAATCTAAATAAATCTTATCAAAATCAAAACACCAAAAACCGCATCAAATTTAAGCTCTTTACTTTGCTTAGGAGTCTTTGCTATGAAAAAAACTGTCATATGAGAAAGAATAACAAAAAAAAAATGAATGCTGCATTGTCTCCGGATGGAATAAATCACATTTCTATGCTATAAAGTGAATAAGAAAGAGATTTGCATAATTTTGCGGGTTTGTTTCGTTTGGCAGAAGAAGTTTGTGTGTTTTTTTCTGTTTCGCTTAGAAGTACGATTTGAATTGCAGAATTATTGAAATTTATGCACCGAGTAACTGTACGATTCCACAAAATTTTTGAACACAAATTTTAAAATGATGATCGTGTTCAAGTCCAAGGTTGTCTACATATATAATTCTATATGCTTAGTTTTTCAATTTAATCGTCATCTATATTTCGTTCTCACAACATGCACAAGGTTACTAATGCAATAAATCTTCTAATTATCGTCAAACTAACAACCAATAAAACACAAGATTTTGCTAATAGAATCAGATTATTTTAATAAACGTCGGCCATTGCTTTTTTTCGTTTCATTTGCCGCTCGGCAGTAAAACTCGATCATAAGGAAATGTGTGTGGCAAATTAAAAGCATTTTAAGCATATTTATTGCATCAGCGAACAGTCTGGACTCATTTGGAAATAATCACAGCTCAGTCAAACGGTATCTATCATACTTATGGTATGTCCCTTGAAATAAACAAATTGCTTATGCATAACGAATTCCAAATGCAGACCAAACACAATTCTAATCTTTTTGTTTGGGTTGAAATTTGCACAAATCCGGTATAGGTATATGAATCAGATTAAATTCCCAGTTAAATGAAAGTGAAAACCCATCTTTTTTCAACGGAAATACGTATTGAATCATCTAAAACAGTATCTTAAGCATTCATTAGACAAAATAACACCATTGTCTATAGATGTCTTTTTTTCACAAGAATGTTTATTTAAAAAAAAAACTTAGTCATTTTCAAATCGGAATTGTGAATCACTTTGTATATCTTTCAATCCCATTAATTGGCACGACAAAGGTTGAAATGGAATCAATGTATTCTTCGGTGTTAAAATAAGATCCCACACTGTAAACAATCTAATTAGAAAGTGAAATATTTGAAAATTCATCAGTCGTTTGTGATATAATTTGAATATTTCAAGTAATTTTGAAAATTGTTTATTTTGTTAAGTTTTTGTAAAATTGAAGACGGCAAAGGACATCAAGGAAAACGCGAATTTCTCAAATATTACATTGAAAATCTCACTAAGGGTTTAAATGGCACAAAGGAGAATTAGTAAACAAAATTCAGAATTAACAGACATTATATTGAGATATTTTCAGCCAGATGAATCAGCTCAGCCAGATATCGTCAGGCTGAAAATATCTCAATATAATGTCTGATATTTAATTGTATCAAACGGAAGTATTGTGTCGAAACATTAAAATCGTCGAATGAATGATAAAAAACGATTCTCTCCATTTAGTAAAAGATACAATTACTAAAAATCTGGTTTCTTTTCTTACATTAATACCATAATATCATTCTACCAAAATCTAGACCAAAATACAATCTTGAAAGCACTGTAAAGCCTGGAGGCCCTGAACCTGTTAATTGTATTTTCGCCCATTTTAAATAAGATCATAAAAAAATAGAACATTCTGTCGGGATGTTTTCAATCTTTAATACATCGCACCCACAATTTTTAAATTAAATTTTCTATTTGTAAATCCAATTTTAATGCAAATGTTGATGAAGTGTTTAATTGCATAAAATATGACATATTCATCAAATAAAAGTCACATTAATGAAAAAAATCATTTGTTACGACCTACGATAATCGTAATACGAAATATATCGAATGATTTAAAACGAATAAAATTGATTATTTTATTTGGATTCCACAAGGTATTAAAGATAATTCCAAAAAACATTTGAATATTGATTGTCAATTAGAAAAAATTTAAAATAAAAATTGATAAATACAAGCAATCATCATGTTAATTTTAACATTATGCATGTCGATTTCTATTTGCAGTCATTAAATTTCTCGTTTTGATTATAAATTGATCAAATTTTACGACATTTTTATGGGTTTACTATTTTAAATTTGATATTAAAGATAAAAACTCGAATCTAGTTCAGTGAAATTAAAACATTTTGAAATGCCTCATAACAACAAAGTTGATTTGGCGCGGTGTGGAATGAGACGTTCTTCGTTCGATGTTGATGTGTAGCCAACTTCACTTTGATTGAACTGTCAACATAAAAACAATTTCAAAACAACCGACCAAAACTCCATACACCAACTAGATTTTAACGATAAAATCCGTCATTTATAAGTTGCAAAAATGTTTGCATCTTGAACAACAACGAAATTTGTAAGAATTTTTATCAATTTTTTTCTTATACCTTGACTAATTTGAACAAATCTTTTGTAGAAATGTGATGAGGTAGAACATAATTAAGCAACATAAGTTCAGAATGTTAGCAACATTGTGTGGATGGATAGAGGCTGTGGTCGCGTTGTTTGTAAACATCTTTGCGACTTTTTATATTGTTGGGCGAATCATAACACATACTTTGTCAGTAACTGGTGATGCATTGATCGAGCTAGCCAAAGTAATTGCTGCGTTTGCTGTGAGTTTTTATGAGGATACGACAATGTTTATGCAGGACATTGACTATCACTATGGTGCTATCATCAAAATGCTAAATGCTGGCATTGGCAATTCAATCAGCGATATCTCTCAAATGGGATTGGCTATATCGTCATCGATCACATGGTTCGGTGAAAAAACGAAATCGGAAACAAATAAAATGTTCATGGGAATACTTGATTTGATCACCTCTAGCGCAATCAACATCCGCAATTGTTTCGTATTGATTGGAAACAGTGCTTGGATGTTGCTGATGTGCGTTCCCAATTTCACCATCTTGATTGGGCGAATTGTATTTACATGTGCATTTTTCATATGGAAGAGTATTGTGGATACAATCAAATTATCGGCTTCAGTTGCTTCGGATTCGTTCAGTGTAACTGTGACATTTTTTACATCGGTTCCTTTGCAATCGATTTGCGGTCTTCTGTCAATGTATTTCATAATTAAATATCGGCAATATGTATTTCGAATGCTGAAATTTGTATATCGATGCATGGCACGTGTAATCAAGTACTTGGCACGTAAAATAACCGCAGTGATTATGACTGTATTCGATTTTGTGGCAATTTTATTTAGTCCCTTGCGAAATTGTTTGCCCAATCTATGGGAATTGAGCTCAGTTCAGGGGGATGAAGGCGATTCATCAACAACAAACTCGATCAAAATCGATGCTTATAATTTTTGTGTGATTTGTCAAGATAAAATGAAGTCAATCGTTTTGCTGCCTTGTCGTCACTTGTGTTTGTGTTCAGATTGCTTCAAACAATTAAGACGCTATCGAAAAGAATGTCCAATGTGCAGAAAAACATACGACCATTCAATTCAAGTTTATGCTTAGTTTCGTTTAGATTTTAAGGAAACACAAAGAGACATTTATTTTATTTTCCACTATTTCTTTAATACTGAATTTGTCTATGATAAACAAAAAATATCGGATCTGAAATCATCCAAAAGCACCAAAATAAAGAGACTGCAGATCACTATCAATTTATTAATTTTATGACTGAAAATAAATATTAAAGTAGATTTGAACCAAATATTTTTTGAAATAAATATTCCCAATTTCCTAAAAAAAAAATTTTTGTATTCAAATTGTATCAAATTAAAAACGCAAATTTTTCATTTAAAAAAAATGCATTTTTCATATTAATTGTCATATTCGAGAGTAATTTTATTTCGATGAAAAAATACAAAACGGTGTCGAATTGACATGTTTCCACGAACTTGGAATCAAAATAATCATGATCATTGGAATCAAAATAAATAAAATTAATTGAATTATATGAAGTCAAAAACCAAACAAATTCTAGTATAAAAAGCGTAATTTTAAGTAAATGTCATATAAAGCCATGGCGAAATTTTGAAACCCTTCGTTTTTCCTTTTTTGGAAATTTTTCGTCTTCGAATTGTTTCGATTTTTAACTATTATTTTTTGTTAATTCATTGATGATAGAAAAATATATTGCCCTTATGTTCTATTGTTCATGTCTGTATTTCAAATATTTACATTTTTTTCCTACCTTAAAAAATGAACATTGAACACAAAACCAAAAACTTCGATCGCAATATAAATTGATCGTTAAAACCAAAACAAAACTTTTTTTTAAATAAATGACTAAATTAAGCGTATAAACGCGTCGTACGCATAACGAATGCTTAGTAAACATTACACCGTAGATATGTGCAACACAAAAATTAATTATTTAAAAAAATAATAATAAGCGAACTCTAGATCCTAATCACAGCAGCATTTCGTTGATTCAATTCAAATTGTCTCGAATATTTGGCGCAATTATTTCCCACTATTTACAGTTAATTAAATAAATTAAATAAATGACCCATTAGATGATCCGTTAACTCCATTGCTTTGGATTGTGTGATGTTTTTTCTCTTTTTTAATGGCTGATTTGTGATCCTGTGTTTGTTCGCAAAGTAGCACAGCAGATGCTTTTCTATAGATGAAATTCGCACAAAAAAGCAACATTTTCAGAATATTTAGTATAAATCGAAGATACAACGATGTCATTTGGTATGATTCGTGGAAAAATTGGAATATTTTTTGTGTTATACGAAAGTAGACAATTGCTATAATTACACTGCCCATTATAATTGCATAAAAGTACTCAAAATGCACATTTGAATTGATGATTGTCAATGATGTAACGCTGATTCCGTTTAAAAAATTTGTGAATACGAATGTGGTGCCATGCAATACTTGAACAACACATGGCGAAATATACGTAAAAAATATACGCAATACCAATGAAAATAGTTGTGATAGATATTTGATTAGCACTGGCAAAACGTATCCGATGACGGGGATTATGTAATCGATTACAAATTGGTAAAGCGATTTAAGACCCCAGCAAATGATGTAGATTACATGTAATAAAAAATCGATGAAATGCATGGTTTCGGATTTTCTGTTGAACTTCTTCCTGATTTGATGTCTCGCTATTTAATCCGATCAATTTAAACATCACCTCACGATTTCTGTTGCATATTTAAAATTAAAAACGGAAGATAAACAAAATTTTATTTTCAAAAAAAAAAAAAACGTATTTCTGAATAAGAAACATTTTGTTATGCGTTGAACATTCTTATTGAATCAATTCCTTTATAACCAATCAGAATTTCAATTACTGACCTTTCTTCCTATGATGATGTCATCTCGATCGTTTTCGTCATATTTCTCAGTTTATATTTCGTGCTTTCGTCTAGATTTGATTTTTCGTCGAAAGTCGTCAATAATTGATAGCGTTTTCAATGAAAATGTGATCTCTGAATCGTTTGCAGTTCAATTTCATTTTTACTTTCGAATTAAATTGACATTGTGGTTTTGACGTTTCACGTTTGCACAGATGAAAAAAAAGACGTTGTAAATTGTAAACAAACACAGTAGAATGGCTGTCACTGTATGCGTTGCGCGCCTTTCTTAGGCGATATTGCGTGCAGATTGCAGGGTTGTCCAATTTCAATTGGAGTCCAGCACCACATTTAAAAAATAAATTAAAATTCCTTTAGATAAAATGAAATGATTGAAAAACGTCAAAGTGTGGTTGTTTTCAATTTATTTGGGTCTGTTTTTTACAGTTGTGGTTCATTCGTATATGACCATGGCCAATGTATCTTATTGAATAGATTGTTCCTATATGACTATGAGTCGATTGGCGCTGATCACTGTTTATTTTCTCTAACATTGAATTAAAAATATGTTTCATTTTGTTGTTGTTTTCTACTATAATATAGGTGATTGATTGGTTATGTGCCGGTGCCTCGTTAAAGTGTTGTTTAATTCAAAATAACAAATTGGTTTGTTTTTAAAATATATAATTGCTTTCCATTTTAAAATGAATTCGTTAAAAAAGAAGGTCAAATGATATTTATTTCTATAAGTATCAGTGTGAATATTTGTATTTGTATTTGTATTTTCGTATTCGACTAACGAGTTTTACATTTGCCTAAAAAAATCACTAGCTTTGATAAAATTGTTTATTATGTATTAAATATGACTGAGCGTTTTATAGTTGCAATTTAATCCTCATCATCATCGTCAAGTAGCTCGAATGCATTGCGCTTTGGTTTGATAATCGTGTCATCATCGTCCTGCGAATTATCTTCATTATCAGACTCTTCATCTTTGGTATCTAAATAAAAAGAAAATTTCTTTAAAATATTGTTTTTTGGAGTTTTTTCTTTTGTATTAATACAAACCATCATCATTTTCTGAGTCTGACTCAAAGTTCTCATCCACTTCGACCAAGTCTTCAGAGATTCCAAGTGCTTTGATCGCTTCAACGTCACTGATACCTTCATGTGTTTGCCATGTATCTTCTTTAGCTACAAAATCTGGTGGAAGTAGGCTTAACACTATTTGACCGTTTAATGTCATCCGGAGAATATGATTGGCGGCACGATTTGTATCGGGGCGAGCTGCTTTTGCCGTAATAAATCCACGTGCCAATGCCCATGCATCACAAATTTCCATTGCTGACCATAATCCATCCACTTTGACATTCAACGTTTTCACCAAATCAATGCGTTCGGCCAGATATTGTACCGATGCATATGGTTCACGCAGTTGTGCTATTGGATAACTACCAATAAGAACTTGTAATTTACGTGGAACAGACGACGGGAATACTAATAAAAAAATCAAGGAAATTAAATGAAATTGTATGCTGGGTCACAGATAAAGCACTCACCTAATCCAGGACAATCGCAAAGTCGTACGTTATTTGTTAGAAAAATTGTTTGGAAATGCTTAGTATGCCCTGGTGTCTTGGAAACGCTCACAACCTTCTTACCTGAGGGGATAAACAATAGAAATAATCAACAAATAATCAAAAAAGAATCAACAAGAATTATTAAATGATAGAAAAGCCACTAGTTTTATACCCATTAGAGCATTCATAAGAGATGATTTTCCAACATTTGGAAATCCCACACAGCCAACGGTTAAGATATCATTTTGGAAACGTACACGCTCTTTCATATCAAAGTCGGTATCATCGGCATGAATTGTTTGCTGCTGTTGTTCTTGTTGTGGATGTTGCTGTTCAAAGCTTGTCGATGGCAATGTATCGTCCACTTGCATACCTTTGATCTCATCGATAATCTTATTCTCCCAACTCGAAATGTCCAGTTCAGCTTTAACAATTGCTTTGCAAGCTTGTTGAATTTGGTATGCACCTTCTTTGGCCATACGCATTTTTCCGCGTCGACGTAAGATCTTTAAGCCGCCAGCAGCTCCATCGCGCTCCGGTACCGAACGTAAATTATACGATGGATACGATGTAAATAAAATCACACGAATATCTTTGTATGTTTCTTCAAAATAATGCTTCCATGCAAGTACAATATGCGATGGCACCAAATCGATTTTATTTAATACCAAAATCATATGTTTCTTCAATGTTTGCGTGACGTATTCAAACAATGAAGGCGGAAATTGTAGACTCTAAAGTAAAACAAACAAAAAATAATGTTTTTAAAAATAGTTTAATGGTATGCGATTTATATTTAGTCTTACCGGATATCGTGCATCAACAATCACCAAAATTATGTCGGATATTTCCAGTACACGCCACAATTGTCGCCACGTTTCCAAATTGAGTTCGCAATAGCTGAGCGTTTTTCCCTTTTCAGCATGACTTTTTTCTAGTTTCATAACATATTCCTATACGATTGCCAAGAAAAAAAAAGATCAGAAAAAACACAAGCAATGAATTTAAAATTGGGCCCACGCACGATGCGTTAAAGGTAACAATATATCTACGTTTAAAAAAAAGAAACTTAACTGTAAAATATCGATTTTCGTTTCTATCTACCGCCTCTTTTGACATATCGTAAGACCATTTGGGCCGTATGGGAAAATCATATCCTTGAAAATATTCGTCGCCGGTTTCGAGATCGCTGCGCAATATGAATTGAATGGGCTTTCTGGCGGCATCCTTTTGTGCTTTCATCTCTTTGACGGTTTCTCGATGAAACGATAACGCATATCGATTCGCATTGCGACGACTAACCGATGGTTGAAAATTGATTTTCTGAATACCAGATGATTCACCGGCTTGAGCATCTGATTCGTCTGTTGTGCTGTCGTTCGCTTCGGTTGACAAAAGGCTATCTATTGTAACAGGCAAAAGGAACAGTAGAGAGAGAGAGAGAGAGATCAAAGACTTTATATATTGCGTCCCATTGACATTTTTTCGTAATAAAATTTTATTTTGAGTTTAATGCTATGTACTATATAGATTTTGTTTTGTGGTTTTTTGAGTAACCGCTATTATATTGTTACCGCACGCAAAAGTAGCGAATACTGCACAAAGAAGCGATAATAATAAAAAAATGAGAAGGACATACACTCGAAACGGTTGTATGTCAACGACACATTGAAAAGTAATAGAGTAACGGTAATGGATGTGCATCTTATCTCGTTCAAAAGGGCAATTGTTTTGTCACTACTAATTGAATTGATAGACTATTATCGATTTATCCTTGTAAACAAATAAACAGCACATGACTGCTTCGACGAAAAAAAACTGACTTTCGAAATCACATGCATGAAAATTCGCCAATATTCTATTTTTGGCAATGAATATTTTTTTCCTGGTTACCGAATGAATAATCATCCTGATGATGCCTTGCCCTATGAATTATTTCAGGTAACACACGATAGAAGGGAAAGTGGGGAGAAAGGAAGAAAAAAGTGTGATTTATGAACGATGAAACCACATCGTAAGCCAAAATTTTCTAATTAACGAATGGCGAAGGAAATCACGTTAAAATGGAATATTCCCATTTTTTCCATTCGAATAATAAAAGAAAATTGGAAAATGATGGCAATTTGCTGTGATTAAATCGTGGAGTGCTGATGAATAGATTATATCCACACACCACGATTCAGGCCATGTAAATCGATGCATGTCGTTATTCGTTTTTTTATTTTTCATTTCTAATCAAAACATGTTCAACATTGAATTTTCCATGAACGAAAATAGGTGTGCCCATATCAACCCCCGTATGTGTACTGATGGAACGTGTATATACCAA